TACAGTTGACAAGTCGTCATCCCTCAGTGCCCATCATTTATATTTGGGTTCACTCTTGGTGTCGTACATTCTCTGGATTTTGGCAAATGTATAGTGACGTGTATCCATCATTGTAACATCACACAGAGTAGCTTCACTGCCCTAAAAACCCTCTATGGGGGCTTCCCTGGCGGCCCAGTGGTTGAGACTCCACACTTGCACTGCAGGGGGTGCAGGTTCGATCCTTGGTCGAGGAACTAAGATCCCATGTGCGGCCCCAAAAAAAAAGAAAAACCAAACAAAAACCCTCTGTGCTCTGCCTCTTCCCCCCACCCCTTCCCTTGGCAACCACTGATAGTTTTACTGCCTCCACAGTTTTGGTCTTTTCCAGGATGTCGTATTGTTAGAATCGCACAGCATGTAGCCTTTTCAGATTGGCCTCTTTCAGTTAGTAATATGCATTTAAGGTTCCCCCATGTATTTTCATGGCTTGATAACTCACTTCTTTTTACCACTAAATAATCGTCTTTGTCTGGATGGACCAGTTTATCCATTTGCTTACTGAAGGTCATCTTGCTTGCTTCCAAGTTTTGGCAATTGTGAATTAAACCGCTATAAACATCCATTGCAGGTTTTTGTGTGGGCATAAGTTTTCAACTCATTTGGATACCAAAGAGTATGATTGCTGGATCTTATGGTAAGAGTATGTTTAGTTTAGTAAGTTTAGTAAGAAACTGCTAAACTGTCTTCCAAAGTGGCTGCGCCATTTTGCACTCCCACCAGCAGTGATGAGAGTTCCTGTTGCTCCACAGCCTCGCCAGCATTTGGTGGCGTCAGTGGTTTGGATTTTGGCCATTCTGATAGGTGTGTAGAAGTATCTTGTTGTTTTAAGTAGCATTTTTCTGATGACATAGGATGTTGAACATCTTTTCATCTGTACATCTTCTTTGGTGAAGTGTCTGTTCAGATCATTTGCCCATTTTTAAATTGGTTGTTTTCTTCTTGTTGAGTTTTGAGAGTTCTTTGTATATTTTGGATAGCAGTTCCTTATCAGATATGTCTTTTGCAAATATTTTCTCCCAGTGTGTGGCTTGTCTTCTCATTCCCTTGACAGTGTCTTTCACAGAGCAGAAGTTTTTAATTTCAATGAAGTCCAGCTTATTAGCTATTTCTTTCATGGATCATGCAATTAGTGTTGTATCTAAAAAGTCATCACTGAACCCAGGGTCATCTAGATTTTTTTCTATGTGATCTACAAGTTTTATAGTTTTGCATCTTACATTTAGGTCTATGAGCCATTTTGAGTTAATTTTTGTGAAGGGTACAAAACCTGTGTCTAGATTCTTTTGTTTTGCCTGTGGATGTCCAGTCATTTGTTGAAAAGACTATGAAAAGACTGTCTTTTCTCCAGTGTATTACCTTTGCTTCTTTCAAAGATTAGTTGAGCATATTTGTGTGGGTATATTTCTGGGCTCTCTACTCTGTTCTCTTGATCTATTTGTGTGTTTTTTCACTAGTACCACACTGCCTTGGTAGTAATGGAACTTTTGTAGTAGCTTTACAGTAAGTCTTGAAGTTGGGGAGTGTCAGTCTTCTGACTTTTTTCTTCCCCTTCAATATCGTGTTGGCTAATCTGGGTCTTTTGCTCCTCCATATAAGCTTGTCTGTTCATCAGTACCCACAAAATAGCTTGCTGGGATTTTGATTAGAATCGCACCAAATCTATAAGTCAAGTTGGAAAGAACTGACATCTTGACAAGATGGCATCTCCCCATCCATGAACATGGACTATCTCTCCATATATTTTTAAGTTTAAAGAAAAATAACATTCACCAGAGGCAATCTATGTCTTATCACTTCAAAATTAAAATGCCCTAAAAATCCTGTATTTTTACTTCTGGACAACTTTCCCAGATAAATGTTTTACATACCAGTGATGGGGCACTAGCTCCTCAGTGTTCCTGGAGATCCTTTCCTCCAGCAGTCCTGGTATAAATATTCAACGATGCAGGGGCTCAGAGAGGGAAACAGAGCATTTAAACAGCACACAAGCTCTGTCTAAATGGACTATTTGTCTCTTGTCAGTCCTCAACCCACGTTTTCTTCTTCCTCGCATGCCTCAGGGCTGTATCAGAATAAGATTTTTCTTGTTCCCTTCCTTTCACCTTAGTTGCTGGGAAAGGGTGACAAGGTCAGATTATAGTCACTTTGAGGTCCAAACTTAGTTGAGATCTTTTTCCATGTTTTGTTCAGGCCACGTGAGGCTCTGGGCACTGATGATGGATGGAAATCACTTAAAGAGATGGCAGAGCTCAATTTCCTTGACGGTGCACGGGATTCGGAATGGTGATAGCATTTTTGAAAACTGAGACGTGACGATTTGTCACTGTACCTTATTTCTCTTAACACATGATTCTGTGATTTCTTCCCGTGATGTAGTTTCACTAGAGGTAAATAACTTAAAATTCAGATCACAGTATTTTCTATCTATGAAGCTCTCCCCTTACCACTTAAGGGTAAGAATTTTACCCTTAGATCTGCACTAATCCTAGTCACACATGTTAGTTCTCTCTCGTGTATCACCTCCTGTGTCAGAAACGCTTAGGGAGATTTGCACAGTGATTTCTCAGGTGTACAGAGGCAAACCCATCAGTAGCAGTGTGGTAAGCTGAAAACATTCTTGCAGCTCAACCCTTTGCACAGTTTCTAGCTGTGTCCTACCGAGTCTCTGTCCATCCCTAAGACCCTCCTTTCCTCCCAACTGTTTCACTACCTTCTCCTCCCCTTCTCCTTCCCCTTCTCCTTCTTCTCCCTCTTCTTCTTCTCCTTCTTCTTTTCTCCTTCTCTCTCTCTCTCATTCCCTCTCTCTCCCTCCCCATCTTTCTGCATCACGTTCATGAGAGCTATATTTGAAAGAGTAAAAGATAGATTGGGTAGGGCTTCTATTCATATTATGCCCCAACTCCCTTACTCTCCCAGTCAATCCTAAATACCATCAGCTAAACCTAGGGAAACCTGAAAAATGACACAGTGCTTACTATACTATGTGTTATGTCCTTCTCTAAATGAGGAAAGAAAGCCTTCGAAGGGAAAAGCAAGACAAGACAATCATGAAGTTTTAAGCTAAAAAAAAAAAAAGTACATAGACGAAGATGTCTATCTTGCCTGTTTTCACATTTTGAGTTCTAAAATTTAATAGCAACTTGTGATACATTCTGTTAATTTCTAAAGGGAATAAACTGTGTATATTTGTACATATAACGCACGCATATGATATATATACAAGATATATATACATATATGTAAGATATATATACACACATCATATATATCTTACTGCATTATAGAACCATTTAAAGTCAGATAAGGGGAATCGGGCCTCTAGACCAACCCTACTAAGTGGCAAAGTTAAGGTGAAACTTCTAGAGAAGCAAAAACGTTTATGTTTAACAACATCACTTAGAGGTGAGTGAAAAGCGTGCTCCTTAACGTAGATCTGGCAAACCACCGGACACTTTGAATCCTGGGACACCTGTATCATCCCAGGGCTTCCGTGCATCACGTTCTCCGTGGAGCTGCGGGAGAATCCAGGTGCCTTGGGAAATGGAATTGTTGATCCGGGGACACCATTTTTCTGAGTCATGAACCGCACTTCCCGGGCACCAGGGCTCTGGAGATTTCGCTGAGCTCACCATAGCACTGCTGATGTCTGGATCTGCGGAGAAGAAAACTTTCTTGGCACTTTATATGTTTTTGAAAATATTTTAAGGCTCGTGTCCTATTGATTTGATTAAAATTCACTTCTGAAACTTCATTTTCCAAGAAAACTTATCCTCTTTTCTGAATTTTGATGAGGTTTTCCTAGCAGGTCCACCTCATAGTTTATAAGGGCCTGTGATTCAGAGAATTACTTGGAATTAGGGTCATCTCACCACTCATGAGTAGGAAGGACCTGGAGATAGAAGCTCTCTCTGTCCTGGGGACGATGCTTTTCTTTCCTCTGCACTACCTTCCACGGCTCCTGCCCTCCCCCTGTGCGCCCCACCCCCTTACCCAGGGGGATTTTGTAGTGAAAGGAGGGACGGGTGAAGGAGGAGAGAAAGGAGACTTTCTCCAGCCAGCATTCCAGCACCTCCCGGCCGGTGTCAGCCTGCTACGGTCAACCACTCTCCCGGCCACGCCCCTTCCTCTGCACTGGTCCTCGGCTCCGTCCTCGGCCTCCTTCCTGCCCATCTCCCTCCTTTCCTGGTCTCCCTCAAGTCACCCCCCACCTCCAGCTTCTGCCTTTTAGGCCAAATGAGTGTCACCAACGGCTTAGAAATTGAAGAGGCACCTATCTCCAGAACCCCAATTAGAAGCATTTGAATGCCTTTTTTAGGTAGAACTGTTACTATGTATGTAGGTTATCTCTATAGCACAACTCAGCCCCAGTGTCAGATATTCTGTGACTTAAAAGTCACTTTTATGGGCTTGACCTGGTTGCCTAACTGCCCATGTAACATAGTTGCTCTAGGAAAAAGCACGCGAGTTCCAGGAAGCCTTCTGATAGCACATCCTCCCCTAAACAGCTTTCCTTCCTTCATGATTGACCACGTTCCTCGTGAACTTAAGGGGGTAAGATTTTCTAGACCCACCGTGCTCTTTGTGAGTATAATGGATAGAGAGTCCTAGTCAACTGCGTTTAACTAGATAAGTAAAACAGAGCAACTTTAAAACCCTGTAAAATTTATGGCAGGAAGACAAGTCTATTTTTGTTTCTTTTTACAGAGTATCATTTTGATATTCCAGCGTTGCAAACAAATAAGTGAAAAACAAAGTTCTAACCTACAGTTCCCGCGTTGGTGGTGGCGATCTCTAACCCAAGCTGGAAATAGGGAAGCCCAGACTATTTCAGCGAGAACAGCTGGGACGTGTGGGGACGATGCACGGCTGCTCTCTGCCTGCTTCTCAGCTCACGGGGGGCTGCGCGCTAACGCTTCTGTCTCTGTGATTTGCTCTCCTGTTTTCTTCTGGGTAAACAGCGGGTCACAGAAAGTCGAGAGAGCCAGATGACGATTGAAGAGAGGAAGCATCTCATCACCGTGAGAGAGGACGCCTGGAAGACCAGAGGCCGAGGGGCAGCCAACGACTCCACCCAGTTTACCGTGGCCGGCAGGATGGTGAAGCGAGGTCAGGATGCGTGTGCGCGCTCCGTCGCCCCCCCACCCCACCCCCACCCCCGCCACGGAGGGGACGTGGCCGGGGAGGGCTCAGTGTAAAAAATGAGGCCGCAGTCCGCTCTGGCTTTCACTCTCACTGAAATTGTGCACACGTTTTCTGGGTAGGTTTTGTGAGATATTCCTACCGAAAGCATTGTCCTACGACACCGTCATCTTCGACGTCAGACGCGTAATGCAATTAGTCACGTTTCAAAACAGCCATTTGGAGATGGAGCCCAGGTTTCAAGAGCGATTTTGCAAATCTGCTAACAAATCTTAGTCCTTTCCTGTCATTGCTTTGAAATTATTTCCATTTTCTTGCCATCTGGCAGTCAGTTCACCCAAATAAGCCTTTTTCTCATTGAAGGAGGAGTTTCTGTCTTCTTCCTTTTAGGGTAATTCCCAGGTCTCTTTCCATCAAACCAGAGTTCCCTGGCTTCAGAAGCCCCATTTCCAGCGATGTTTTAATAGCTGTCCAAAGGATGGATCCACTTCCACAGGGAAGTGAGATTTCCCTACAGATGGGCAGTTTCCCTGCAGCTGAGCTCTTGGAACTGATTTGCAGCGGGGAATCCAAAGATGTATGAAAGTGACGCATCACGTGGTTAGAAGTCACCAGAGAGCTGAGGGGCTCCACATCCTGTAGGAGACGGTTAAAATCTGGGGTCCTTGTTCACCTGCGTGCACGTACCTTCATTTTCTAAGCTGTGGCTTAAGCAAATTTCTTAACTTAGTGATAAAGGTTTTCACATTCAGGTAGAGTTAACTTACGTTGACGTCTGCTTTCTAGGTTTGCAGTTCGCTTTCCTCAAAACCTTTCAGGATCCTCGCTCAAAGACAGTGCCTAGCTCATTGTAGGCTCATGATAAATATTTGCAGAAGGAAAGGAGGGAGGCAGGGAGGGAGGGAGAAAGGAAGGGAAGGAGGGAGGGAAAAGCCCTGAACTGAGATGAACCCAGATCTTGGTGGAAAAATCCTTTGTAACAAATTTATTCTTTTCTTGGAATTGTCAAGGATAACAGAAGATAATTTACTCTCAGAATGAGGTGGCATTTGAATATGTTCTGTATACTTTACGTGACCCCCATCCCTATGTTAACTAAAGCAGATTAAGGCCCACGTTGGTTAAGAAGAACTCGAGCTGAGAACTTGAACCGGAGCTCAGACCTGCCAGCTTCTAGCCCAACTTTGGTTTCCTCTTTCCTCTTCCATCTGAAAAGATGGTAATTTATTTGAAGTCGGGCCCTTACCACCAGATACCGCTGCCCTTGTCCACAGGAGTGTCAGAGGAAGTAGCTTTGCTCTTAGGCAGGTTTGGAGAGTAAAGTCAGAGATGTTCCTCTCCCTTAGTGGACGAGCTCGCGTTCACGTGTTTCTGAATAAATCAGGGATCTTGATTTAACGGGTGCGATATGACTTTGCTCAGGAAATAATTTTCTTGTACTTTCAATCTAATGGAAAAACTGTGCCCTGTTTTTCTAATATCTGTTACCACCTACACAGTGATGTGTTTCACTCGGTCACCGCTCTTTCGGATTTGCAGTGATAGGGCGTCCAATGTCCTACACTCGCCAAAGAATTAGTAGTCCCCACGCTGCAGCCACCAAGGTTTCCCATGTCCTCGGGTTACCGTGTACCTGCGAGTTGCCAAGAGGCATGCCGTACCCTGATTTTCACTCTCTCACCCCAGAACACTCTCTTCTCCCCAGCCTCGCCAGGACTGTCTCCCTTTTTCTTATTCCTGGACGCTGCATAACAGTGAGTATGCCACAGATTTCTGTGGTATTCTAGAATTCTCCTGGAAGGAAGGTACTCAAAGTGCACCTTTGAATAAGAGAGATGTGAAATGTTCCCGAAGAGAGCAGGTGACTGGTTATTGCCTGTAGAGTTCACTGAAAAGAGGTGTGGGGAATGCTTTGTTTTGCTTTAACATCGTGAAATTTAAATCTGTGTGCCCTCCGCCACTATGGATGAACCCTAAATCTCTCCAGGAAGGAGCTGGTCCACCTCTGGGAGCTCAGCGCTGCAGCCTGAACAGGCAGCGGGGCGCGCCGCGACAGCACGAGGGGCCGGTGTCCTGATCGGCTTGAGTCAGGCCTGTTTCATTGGCTTTAGAGTTAATGACCCTCTGTGCTCATGAAATCTTCCCATGCCTCTTACGCACCCTCTTAGCAGGTGATGGTTTACTGCCCCAGCCGGTGATACCAAAGTTTACTTATCCTTTTAGCATCTTTCAAGAAAGTTGACTTTCTCACTGATAGAAACCCTTTACAGTTCCGGTAAAGAAATAATTTTTTTAAATGTTGTTGACATCATTAAGGAAGTATACGTACATGTTGAGAAGTACTTCTAGAATATCACCTAAAATTTAAGTTGTAAACTGCATTTCAGTATTTTTCCTTAAAAATTTTATGCTGTAGCATATCCCTCTCCACCTCACAGGAGGGAGGGGCAGATCCATTCACTTCAGTGATTCTTTTTCCCTGTAAGTGACAGTGATTTACATATTCTCCCTTTGTGGCTCTCGGAGCGATACTTAACGTGGCAACGTCACCTAAGGGTTTCTCGTTTCTTACAAACAGAGACAAAGAATATTAAGGTCTCATTTTGTTCTTTGTAACTAATTACTTTCCTTTCGAATCCCTCCTAAGGTTAGGGAAGGATACTCGTCTTTGTCTTTATTAAGGTTTCTTATTCTAATCATATGCCTTCTTCAGGCTGGAACGTCTGTCTTTCCCTCTCATGTGTCTTTTACCATTTCTCCGTTGAAAGATTCCCCATCCATGCAGGTGGAAGCATGTCCCTAGCTCCCAGCCACACCTGACATGGGTACGATCCTCCAACAGTCACAAATCAGTACAAATGGTTCCTCTTGTGCCTTTCTTACAAAGCTTAGCACCCTCTGCATTATTGCCTAATAGGACCACACTCTGAGTGACGCCCCCAAAGGCCAGACTGTCCCCATGTCCCCTCAGCTGGGAGGGACACTGCGGGGCACTTCCCGGCCAGCGTGGCAAGCCCGGTCTCCTCCATCCTCTGCGGGGATGGTGCGGAAACAACTGGCCGTCCGCATCCTCGCGTTCCACAGCCACGAATTCAACCAACCGTGATCAAAAAACAATTTTAATTCCAGAGAATTCCCAAAAGCAAAACTAGAATTTGCCACCTCAGCTCTTTACACAGCATTTACATCGTCTTAGGTATAATGAGGCATCCAGAGATGATCTAGAGTATACGGGAGGATGTACGTAGATTGTATGCAAATATGCCGTTTTGTATAAGAGACTTGAGCATCTGTGGATGTTGGTACCCACAGGGGGTCCTGGAACCAATCCCTGTGGATACCAAGGGACGACTGTATACTTTCTCTTCAGCTACCTCCACTGCCCCCAAAGCCTCCAGACGTCACCGTTTCATCTGCTCGAGGACATTCTGGTTGCCTTCGTGTCTTTGTGGTTCAGTATGGAATGGCAGCCTGACAGCCGCTGCAGGCCTTAGAAACAATGATACCCTGTCTCCATTGGCAGGTGTCCTACACGTGTGGGCACGGTCCCTGCCAGATGCACATATGTGTGTCCCATGCGTGTGTGTAAATTCTGTGAATTGTTAGATCTCCGTTGGGACTCGTGGCCGTCCCTCAGGGTCCTGGGGACTTCTGGAAGCTTCCTCAGATGCTCAATAGCTCCTTTGTCTGCTCTGCAGGTCTGGCGTCCCCCACTGCCATCACCCCAGTAGCGTCCCCTATCTGCAGTAGAACGAGGGGCACCACGCCAGTTTCCAGACCCCTGGAAGGTGAGTCACCAGGCACCCAACGTGCCAAGAGGTCTGTGATCAGAAGAGCCCTCCGTGCTTCTCTCACCTGTGTTTTCTACTTGCCTAGATATCGAAGCCAGACCAGACATGCAGTTAGAATCAGACCTCAAGTTGGACAGGCTGGAAACCTTTCTAAGAAGGCTGAATAACAAAGGTACACGCCAGGAGCCAGAGGGAAGCTTGGGTTCATGTGCTTGTAGCCAGTGTGACTCGGGTTTCAGTGGGTAGCTCAGGAAGCCTAGGAACACCTGCCCTGCTCTCAGAGTCTCTAAATCCCAAGTGGGATTGCTTTTTCTCCTCAGCTAAATTGTCTTCTATTATGTCACCAGTTCCTACTGTAAGCGTTATCTTTGTTGTTAGGTTTTAAGAAATGAAGTTATTGGTCAACATTGATGAGATTACCAAACTCTGATCCACTTGGTAATGAACTCAGTAGGGAGCCCCCAATAACCCATTTGTTCCTGGATCCAAACCCTTGGGATGAACTTCCCTGTTGACGCAGTGGTTAAGAATCCGCCTGCCAATGCAGGGGACACGGGTTTGAGCCCTGGTCTGGGAAGATCCCACATGCCGCGGAGCAACCAAGCCCTGTGCCACAACTACTGAGCCTGCGCTCTAGAGCCTGCAAGCCACTACTGAGCCCACACGGCACAACTACTGAAGCCTGCATGCCTAGAGCCCGTGCTCCGCAACAAGAGAAGCCACCGCAATGAGAAGCCCGCGCACTGCAACGAGGAGTAGCCCCCGCTCGCTGCAACTAGAGGAAGCCCGTGCGCAGCAATGAAGACCCAACGTGGCCAAAAATAAAATCAATCAATAAATAAATTTATGAAAACGAAGTAAATAAACCCTTGGGATGTCATCCAGTCAGGACTGTAGAGTCGGTAGTTTTGCCCTTAACCCCGGAAGCAGGTTATTACGCGAAATCGACGTGAACTTGGGCCTGGTGAACTTTCAGCCGCATGTGTCAGTTTCCAGTAAGGTAGTAGCTGCTGTTACAATCGCAGCTGATTTCTAAAAGAAATTTCTAGTGGATAGATAAAGATTTCAATACAAAAGCCCATGAAGTATATATAATAGAAGAGCAACATGCAGAAACAGCCTCATCTCTTAATGAAAATGTCCAGTACTTGCAATTCATCAAATACCAAGCACTGGAGCCCCTACTATTGACAATGACCCCTGTAGGTTGAAAATAATACAGACAACCACCTGAAACCAGAAATACAAAAGCGTACTATTAACAACAAAGCTGGCAAGGCAAAGAATGCAAACGAGTCAGAGTTTATTACCTACATGTAACGGTGAGCTAGCCCGGGGGTCGGCAAACACATCCAGCTCACCTCCCCTTTTTGTAAATAAAGTTTTATTGGAACACAGTCGTGCCCATTCCTTAGCATATTGGTAATAGTTGCTTTTGTACTATAGCAGCAGGGTCATGTAAGGGGCAACACAGGTCAAATAGACTCCCGTGCAAAGCCTAAAATATTTACTACGTGACCCTTTGCAGGAAAAGTTTTCACCAAGCCCTGATCTAGAACGAGGCTGAGCTAGTTCTGCATGCAAAAGAGCAAAAAGAGCAGGTTCAGAAATTCCCGGTGTGCTGGAGCCTCCATCCCTCCTAGCACTCACAGTGCACGCTCTGTTCAGACGGGAAGTCCTCTCCTGAGAAGCCAGCTGATACCCAGGAAGCATCTACAGAACCCTGGACATCCTTGTCATGTTTGCTCCACTCCTGGACCTTAGCGGGAAGAAAATCATTTTTAAGATTCAGTGAAGCATAGTTGGAGTCATGTTTTTACACAAATCTCAGGTCATTGATTTGCTTGTTTGTTGGTAGTTGGTGGGATGCAAGAAACGGTCCTCACCGTCACCGGGAAATCCGTGAAAGAGGTGATGAAGCCGGACGATGAGGAAACCTTTGCCAAGTTCTACCGCAGCATGGATTCCGCTCTACCGAGAAGCCCCGTGGAGCTGGACGAGGACTTTGATGTCATTTTCGATCCTTATGCCCCCAAGTGAGTTATTTCATTTTCCATCTTTCACCCCTGGAGAACGGATTCCTTCACTGGTCTCCACACAGCACTTCCTCGAGAATCTTCTCTCACTGTTACGTCCTTCTGCGATAGAACTTCATTACAGCCGGATTGACACCAACCAGGGTTCTTGGCCTCCCCCAATCAATAGAAATTGATAAGAGGCCAGACAAGAAGCTCAGGCAAGGCTTTATTGGGGCCCCTGCTGCAGCAGGGAGGAGAGTAACAGGTTCCCTTGCTCGCTCCCCGAGGGGGTTGAGCTGCTTATATGGGGAGAGGGCAGGGGTGGGTCCAGGGGTCAGGCTGGAGGCGTGGCTTAGGTGGCTTGCCCACCCCTTTGGTGGTGGTGTGTGTATAGGGCATGGGCAGTGCCCTGCTTTGGGTCCTGGTACCCTGTTTTTGCTCCCTGCTCTTCAGAAGCAGCAGTTGGGTTTTTTGGTCTTTTTGTATCCTTTGTCCATAATTTGGCCCAATTGCACATGCACAGTTATTTTTAGTCCCTTATCGTTTTTTGTATTTTGTTGCTTGAGAAGAGGCGTGTGTCTAGGTGCAAGCCCTGCAGCAAAGGGTCTCAGGTCCCAGGTCCCAGCCCGTCTCAAAATCGCTATTCTCTAGAACCAGACACTGGGCTAGATAGAGCTTGCGTACCCAGGACAGACGTCCCCTCCGGCAGAAAGCCTTGCATCCCCACCACATGCCTGGTCCATAAAAACAAAGTGACTGTGTTTATCACGTCACTCGAATATTGTTTTGCAGACTTTATGAACACTGGTTAGCAGAAATTTCTATGCCTTTCTTCATTTGACATGTCAGATTCTTACTCAACTTTGCAAACTGTTTGGATCACCTGGGCTCTAATGAATACAGCTAACTAGAAAATCAATGAAACGTGTTACTTAATTTGCAATCATTGATAAGATCAATAGATCTGAGGGTTTTCTCAGTGATGTCCCAGGGTCCCTCTTCATGCAGGAACGTGACTAAACCACCAAAGAGTGTTCATGGTGTTAGGATTCCCTTGGTTGTGATTGCCACAAAGAACGCCAAGTCCAGCTGGCTTCAGCAGAAGAGAGGCGTGGAGGGATTTACAGGTTCACCCCTTGAAAAGCACAGGCATGAACTCAGGTTCCAGGGGCTCAGAATGAGGTCTCTCGCACCTGGTTCCTTTAGGCTGGCTTTCCTCTCAGTCAGGCTGTCACCACGTGGTAGATGGTCACCCCTCACTCCGGATTTATATCCCATCTCCTTGGCCACCACCAGCGCAGGCAGCTGACCTGCCCAGCCTTCCCAGAAGAAGTTCCAGGCTTGATTTTCTTGGGTTTGCATCCAGCCCTACAGCCATCATTGTGGCCAAGGGGATGGAAGATGCTGATTGGCCAGCAGTGGGTGGTCTTTGGATCCCCCTCCTGAGCCAGGGTAGGGGACAGGGCATGGAGGGAGATGGTTCCCCCAAAGGAAAGTCAAGGAGCTCTTACGAGAAGCAGGGAGAATGTGCTGGGTGAGCTGATAACCCCACGGCCATCCACCACGTGTATCTGTTGCCCACAAATTTTTCAGTGCCCGTCTCTTCCGGAAGTCTGCGTGGTTATCATAAATGTTTCCTTAAGCCGCTCCTGATACCTGTTTTGCATTTTTCAATGTGTTCAGTTTTTTTCAATTTGCTACCTTAAGAAAATGAACAATTTTCCATTCCTCACCTTTAAGTAATATTTTGGGTATTTGCATACTTTGGTAGTGAACCACTGCTCAATCTTCTCCTCACCCAAATGTCATTGTTTACATGGTTACATGTAATTTAAACATTGATATGTATGTTTACACACACACACACACACACACACACACACACACACACACACACGACAACGTTATGTATGAAAGAGGATCTCCAGGTACAGAGATCCATGCACTTAAGACATTAAAAGCAGCTGGAATCTGCTGGGAAACCATGTGACTGGGTCCACCCCTCTCCCGATGTCTGGTCTTCTGCCCCAGAGAGCTGAGAGTGTATGTGTGAGGGTCATAGTTGGTTTTGTGGGCCTCTTTTATTTCAATATAGTTTTCAAAATCGTGCTTATTTTCCAGAGGGGGTCGAGAGGAGGCTCGTGATGGGGAACTTGGGGAGGGAACTGGAAAACTTGCATGGAGAGAAAGCTGAGTCTGGTGGAGAGAGGGTTAAATCAAGAAGCAGTGGCTGGCTGTCCATCCACGGAGGGCTTACTGGAACCCAAAGGAGGAGAGGTGGTCCTATTCCGGCAGGAGAAGTAGTGATCAGCGTGTTGTGGGTGCGATGAGAGGGAAGGACCGCACCCTTCAGGGCTGTCCAGGAGGGGGATGGGCTGCCCCAGAGGCACTGGCCGCTCCTCCAGCTGGAGACCACGGGGCGTGGTGAGAGCGGGGCTCCAGGCGTGGGCTGGTATCTGGAACTAAATGGGCTTCAGTCTCCCACCTCCGAGATCCTCAGTGGAGGGGTGATGGGAGGGGAGGAACTGTACGATTATAACGAAGTCAAGAACTAAAATCGCAGCGCCTGCCGCTTCAGCTCAGACACACGTAAGCCACCAGGCGTGGGTGACACTGCAGCCCCAGGCCACACCAGCTCTGCTCTGCCTCTTAGGTTGACATCCTCTGTGGCTGAGCACAAGCGTGCGGTGAGGCCCAAGCGCCGGGTTCAGGCTTCCAAAAACCCCCTGAAGATGCTGGCGGCAAGGGAAGATCTCCTCCAGGGGTACACGGAGCAGAGACTGAACGTGGCCTTCGTGGAATCAAAGCGTATGAAAGTCGAAAAGAGTGAGTATCAGGGCCATCTCCAGCTGTGCGCTCGGGAACCGGGGAGCAGGTGACTCTGTCCTCTCCTTTCCCTGCCTTGCAAAGGCCAATGACAGCGCCCAGAGACTCTCGTGCAAGAAAAATGAACAAGTCTGTACACACACGTGCACACCTGCAGAAACTCTGCTTGGAACGGAAAGGCTTGCGGTGTGGCCCATCTATTCACTGACATCAAATTATCCTGTTTTGTTGAGTTTTCTTTCAAGAGGTTGGAGGAAAGGGAGGTTGCTGGGCTTTGCAATTCAACCCATTTCCAAACACAGCAGTTCTTCACTTGATCTTATTCTAGAGCAAATGATTCGATCTCTCGTGGGCAAGTGTCCCAAATCTCTGTTTTGCCTAATCCGAGATTTCTACATTATTAATTAATGCAGAAACCGGTGCTTTTCACATTGTTTTGGGCAGGACCCTTGGGCTCCTTGGAGCTGGGATGTGGGCTGGGGGGAGTCGGGAGACTTGGGATGGGGCAGTGAAAGGAGCGTGGGAGCAGGCCCGAGGTTTTCATCCCACTTCAGGCTAAACCGTCGGCTTTTATCTGCCCGGTCATGTGGGGCTCCCCGGTTCTCAGAGTGGTTTTCCCAGCGGAGCTAATGGCATGCATAATCTTGTTATTTTGAAGATTCTTGCTGTCATTTTTATTTTCCTGTAGCACTCATAAACCTACTTACTAAAGGTTTTTTTTAGAAATAGTCTTTGGATGAAGTGGTTGAGTCTTTCCATTATAACTGGCTTACTAAATAAGATATTACAAAATCTCTATGCCATACGAGTTGTCAGGTAGTGTTATATTTCTTCAGTGTTAGAACCTCATCCCAGCAAAATAATTTTCTGAGTTTCTCTCTAGCATATGCATAGTTTCTTAAACAATGAGCTGGAGAAATAAAGGTTTATTGGCACAAGTTTTATGTACTTTAACTGTATCTCCACTTTTGGGGGACACATATACATTTGTTGGTCCACACTGAAAATCCAGCATCTTGTTACAATCTTAAATCTGAGAGCAAGCGATCTCAAGAGATCATGATGGCCTCCAGAGAGAGATGAGAACTAAACCGTGCCTTACAAGGTGCCTGCTTTTCTGCATATAAAGACTTTGGATGGAAGATGTCTAACAGTCTCCCTTAGGAATGCGTTTTCAGCATCTGACACTGTTAGGAATGATAACAGCTTTAGTGGAATTGCAGCGCGAGTCCAGCTCCTGATTTTATACTGATGTGGCTGGTCCACAGTGCCACTCAATTCTTGTCTCTCCGCATGGCCAGGGTGACACTCTTCAGCAAGCATTTACACTTTCAATCCTATGTTTAATTCCTAACACAAGCTTCACTGCATAGTTAATCAGACTGGAGTATGTTTTCCCCGTCAGGATTAACTTGAAAGGAAAACAGGAGTGAGTCACTTGTGCGTGATCGCTGGGTGTAAACACTGTCATTTCTCCTGAATGTCTTGCCTCCCCTGCACTGTGTTTCCTCCTTTGACCCTCCCAGTGTCCGCCAGCTCCAACTTCTCAGAAGTCACCCTGGCGGGATTAGCCAGCAAAGAAAACTTCAGCAACGTCAGCCTGCGGAGCATCAACCTGACGGAACAGAATTCCAACAATAGCGCGGTGCCCTACAAAAAGCTGATGCTGTTACAGATTAAAGGTATTTAGAGCGGCAGAGAGAATTACACACGACCAGGGATTTTAGTCTGGTAACATCGGGAGGCCTGACTTCCCCCTACTTGCCCGAAGGGAGAAGGGAACGCGTGCTTTTGGCGAGCCCACCGGGTGCCACCTCATCTCACATCAGCGTCACAAAATCCCACTAGGTGGGAAACATTACGCCTGCGGCCCCAGCAGCGGCTGAGCAGCAGGGCTGGCTTTGAACCCTGGTCTGTCTGATTCCAGGACCTCAGCTTTTGCTGCTGCTCCACTTCCCGTGGCCCCGGCCGCACACTGCGTGCGGTCACCAGGCACCCCCTCAGCCACCAGAGTGCTCCCTCCATCTGTCCTCCTCGCCAGGGTCAGCAGGAGTTAGGGCAGCGGGACGGAGAGAGGGCCGTCCTTGAGCAAGGGAGCAAGGGAGCATGGGGCAGGGGGTCTCAGCGGCTCCAGCACCCTCCCTCCCCCCCCCGCCCTCCTCCC